ATAGATAGATAGATAGATAGATAGATAGATAGATAGATAGATAGATACATACATACATACATACATACATGATGGATAATTTCAGCAAATAAGTCTTTAAAAAGATGTCACAGGAGTCCAGGGTTTACTGCTTGTTCATATAACAGTTTCTTTTAATGGATCATATTATTTTTCTTGAAAAGAAACATGTTACAGATTACTTTTATGTTTTCATATTTACTGAAAAGGGGACAGGTTTACCCAAAAGAGGCTGGAATATGCTTATGAAAGTTATTGGTGTAGTTTTCTGATGAATACATAGGGCTTGCTGTATTGTCAGTAGATGACACAATGCTGTTCCAGCTATATTAAGGATCTGAGGCACACAGGTGGGCAGAAGACTTTTTTCTTCATTTCAGTGAAGCATGGAAGCCGATCCTGCATACCTGGCCCTGTTGACATGCTGCTCAGGCTTGTCAGTTTAGAAGCAAGAAACATAGAAAATATAAAAGGAATTAAAACCATGGTTGAAGCCATTCTTGATATAAATTAAGCAAATGAGGGAATAGTAAATAGTAAGTGCAGTGCTTCATCACAAGACTCATTCTCAGTCCTGTGAGATCTAACCAAGGCTTTATCTGATTCAACATGCTGATTCCAATAACTTTCAGCAAAATTGAAGGTGTTCATAAAACCAGTAGCTATTGATTATCATTGCCAGTGACTCTACTAACTTTAAACCTCTTTTTTATGCTCTATAAAAATTATAGAGCAATGGACCATTCATTGTTGCACTCCCTATTTATTAGAGAGTATAGCATCAGTCTAGTAATCAGTCTAGTAAAATGCTAAATGGGCAGTCTAGTATCCAATCCTTTGGAACTGAAGAAGGAACTTTCTTTGGTGTGACAGTCTGCTTGAAATAATGTAGGCTTTATTCATTTGTTTTGCAGAATGAATTTCAAATTTATAAGTCACCTTGAATGTCCTTTTTCAGACCAAAAATAGAATCCAATGAATCTATTTAATCTTCTGCAAGCTTATCAATATTTTTACTCTGCAATTTCTTAGACAGCTCTTAAAAATAAATGTGGCTTACATAGGGGATGGTGATAGAAATTAGTATGTTAACTTTCCTTTGAGTAAATGTAGTAAGATAATATATTTTTGACTTGTGGGAGATTTAAAGTACATGAGGCAATTTCTTATTGATTTAGAGAGATGGCAAAACTCAAGTTAAAAAGTTTGAAGCTTTGAAAGCATTGTGGCCAAATAATGTTTTCCAAGGACTTTTCACTTCAGCTACCTAATTATACCAGTTTTACTTGCTGTTTGCTTAAATTCACATGAACAGATTTTTGTCAGCACAAATATTTGGAGAATGACAGTTCTGATATCTCCAAGATAATTCTGAACAAACATCAGCATTTTCTATTTATTGCTCACTCTTCCTCATTGATTGTATTATTGGTTTAAATTGTATCAGTCATCATTTTTGGCAATCAGACAAATAGGTTTTGAAATTAAGTGACATTAAAGAAATGTACCTTATTTTCTAAACATTGGCTAGAATATAAATAAAAACTGAACACCTGTTCTTCAAAATGTCATTGAAGTTCCCTTAAGTTTCAAACCAGATTTGATACAAAGAGAAAGAGACAGGGGCAGAAAGAGAGAGAGAGAGGAAGGGAGGAAGAAAAAGAAAGAAAAAGAGAGAGAGAGAGATAGAGAGAGAAAGAGAGAGAGAGAGAGAGAGAGAAAGAAAGAAAGAAAGAAAGAAAGAAAGAAAGAAAGAAAGAAAGAAAGAAAGAAAGAAAGAAAGAAGGAAGGAAGGAAGGAAGGAAGGAAGGAAGGAAGGAAGGAAAGAAAGAAAGGAAGGGGATTCTTGGGAAGCAAAATTGAAAAACTCTGTATATACTGGTTTATTGTCCATTATCTTAGCGGCTTAAATACCAAGTCAATATTTAATAAAATTCTCATATCAGTTGACATATGCAAGCTGAGTATGAGCTTCTGTTTCTGAAGAGAAACTTCAATGATAGGAAATCATAGACCCAAGACAAATTGTAAATGTATTCCTATTGCCACACTCGTGTTTTAAGACCTATAATAGGTACCAAGGCTTCACATCTTGTGCCTTCCACACAGCAACTCTCATTCATTCTCACAACAGAGGATGCCATGACAGACATCCTATGCAAGCGAGCAAGGAAGAGAAAAAAATGAGAACATATACATACACAACTTATTTAACCATTATTTGATGAACAGACCAGAATTGGTTGGGTTCACCTATTGTACAAAGCCAGAAAAATGAAACATTTTCATGTAATGTGTGCTTACAGCCAAAGTAATAATAATTTATGTAGCTGTCTCTCATGGGTCTCCTCCATTAACTCATTCATATCTACACAAATTTTTCTCTCTGTTTCTCTTTTATTATCTATCTATCTTCTACAGTCTGTCTGCCTGTCTCTCTCTCTCTCTGTATCTATCTACCTATTTATCATCCATCCATCCATCACATAACATTCTTCCATATCTAATAAAATGTTCTATCATTCCTTACAAATAATACTTCTAGATCAGGGAAGATATTTGTCTTCCCCAAATGGCTAATGTCATCCAGTGGAGCCTGTTTTTCTCTTGAGTATCTAATGGGCAGTTTGACTGATGTTTTGATCATTGCCTAGAATGTCACAGGGACTTTTGCCCTTATGCTGCAAAGTGCACCAATCCCAGACTATTAGCTTTTGAAGGAACTTTGGAAAATGAAACACCAAAAGAGACACCTAGAATACTACTGAAGGAAGGTAAAGATTGAATTTGATCAGAGACAAGCATCCTCATATTGCATCTGCAAGATGGTGGCAGCAGTAGAGGCAGCATGAGGAGCTCCAGCGGGCATGGGCAGTGCCAGGCGACAAGCCCTCTAATCCCTGTGGGTCCAGCCGGTGAGGTGGAAAGCCTAACACCTGAGACTTGCCAGCAAGCCAGAAAAGAGCTCCATTCCTCAGCAAACACTCAATTCAAAAGTACTTGGAGATCTCTGATTCCTCCCAGTAAAGAACTCATTCCTCGGTGGGCACTAAGTTCGGGAGCACTCTATTCAAAAGCGCTCAATGATGTGTGACTTGACCCATCCTTACTAGAAGGTAAGGCGGCGGGGCTCGCCAGTACCGGGTGGGCTCAACGATCATCCTTGCAGGGCAGTGAGATTGTGAGATTCATCCCATCCTTGCAGGGCGGTGAGCACCAGAAGCTGTGAGTCAGACATCTGCAGCCAGGGTGTGAAACAGACTGCTTCCCCCCTGCCGCCCCTCCTTCCCTCTTCCCTCTTCACCAAATTGCTAATCTGGACTTCCTCTTTAAAAGGACGGTGACTTTGGACTTTCAATAAATAAGGAAGTATTGTTATAACTGAACTCCTGTGAAGATTGGAAGCAACTTTTATTTCCTGTGATAGAAGCAGAAGTATATTGAAGCCAGGAGTGAATGCTCAATACAAATCTGAGTGTACATAGTACAAATATAAACTGTTCAAATTGCCAGTGCAAGACTTTCTTTCTCTTTGTCTTAAAAGCAACAAACTTTGAAAGTGTATTTAAATTAACTAGGAGGGGCCAGAAATCCAATTCATCAAGGGAAAACAAAACAAAAAGTTTCCTGTTGCCTCCCAGTGAATTGTTCTGTTTATCTCTGCTGAAGAAGGGGCCAAAGATTCCCCCCTTCAATGTCTTTGCATCTTTACTATCTCAAAAACTCAATCTACAAAACAAGAA